TCTAGTCACCTCTGGATTGGGTAAAGATAGCTCCCTAGTAAATTACTCAGTAAGAGGCTTGTCTTAATCTGTTTGGTGCTGCTTTAACAGAATATCTGAGACTGGGTAAATCAGACTGCATAGAAATTTATTGCTCACAGTTCTAGAGTCTGGGAGATCCAACATTGAGATCTTGGTCACTGGTGAGGGCTTTCTTGCTATGTCCTCACTTAGTGGAAGGAAGATGGGCATGATTGTAAGAAAGTTGACCCACTTCTGTGGGCCCTCTTCATAATGACATTCTTCTGTTCACGAGGGCAGAGCCCCCAGGACCTAACTATCTCTCATTAGGCCCCACCTCCAAATAACACCCCATGAGAGATTAAGTTCCCAATTCATGAATTCTGGGGGACACATTCCAATGAGGCAGGGCTCATGGAGAAGCAATATTTATCTAGTTTCTGTACATTCAAAAATGTTTTTCTGCGGTTTTTATCCTTTGAGGGACAGGTTGGCTGGACGCAAGATCCTTGGCTCATACTCTCTTTTCTAGGATGTGTGACTTGAAGATACTCCTCCAATTCAGTTTGGCTGAGGATGTTGTTGTTGAGAAGTGTAAGGCTGACCTGATCTTTCCTTTTAAATGACTTGGACTCTCTTCATATTGGCTGAAAAGATTTTTTTCTACATATTTTAAACATCACCATACGTCTTGGTGCTTACTATTGGAGATCAGTTTTCCCAGGTGTTCAGGTGTGACCTTTCAATATGTAAAGTCATATTTTCTTGCATTTCAAAACATTTTCTTGAATTACTCTTTTACACTGTTTAGTTTTCTTCTCTTGGATATGAATAATGATATGTAGGTCGGATCTCCTTGGCCTGTATTCTAGATCTATCACTTTTGCTTTAATCCCCCTTTCCCCCCAATTTCAAGAAATCAAGGTAAAATACATGTAACAAAATTTACTGCCTTAACCATGTTAAGTGTACAACTTAAAAGACAATAAACATGTTCATATTATGTACAATGTGTCACAAATACTTTTTAATCTGTCTTTTTTTTTCCCCCTAATTCAGTTTCCTTGGAATTTTTTTGCTTCTTTTCTTTAGAACTCAACCATGTGTATTTTTGTGGCCTCTGTTCCCCTGCACTTCCCCTGATAAGAGAAGCGGCATAATGATTTCAGAAATTAAAGTTTAGAATTTATTATTTTCCCATTGTCTAGTGAAATTCTTCTTTGGGGTCATGCTTTGTGATGTTCTTTTTATAGAGGATTCTGTTGGAGTTGTTTTTGCCATCTTCCTCTGCCTTTGATAACCATTTTTTTCCCCAATGATTTTCTTTTTCTGTCAATCATGTTTGTTGTTTCATGTTTCACTTTTGAATGGAACCTTGGTTGGGATGTGGCCATTTTGCCATTTTGTCACTCACATTTGAAGACTGGGTTTTCCTGGCCCCGCTGTTAGAGGAGTTGTCCTGTGGTGTCAGAGTGGGGTGTGGGCCAGGGGAGGGCAGCTTCTGCTCCCAGTTCCTGGGCTGCTTTCCACTACGCTGTGTAAGGGGCAGTTCCCTGAATAGGCTGTAATACGCCTTTCTTCTCCTGCTCTTGCCAGTCCGCTTTTGTCCACCCCCAGTCCCCCATGCTCTGTCCTGCTCACTCTCATGCACGGCAATTCCTACATGGGTGGTCCCCACGAGCTGACGAATGTCGCATCTGTGTCCAGGTCCTCTTCTCCCTGTGTCCCTGGAGGATGGAGCTCACTAAGCATGACTCCTTCAGAGGTCAACAGGCAGATGAGGCTCCGGCTTCTGGGAGAGGTCTTTCTAGCTTCTGTCCCTGAAGAGCATGGTTTGGCCAATCAGTGTGCAGGACGCGTGGCTATTCAAGGGCCCTCTCAGGTGGGCAGAGTAGTTTTTAGGACCTCTGGTCTGAGTAGTCCCACTTTGAAGGGCTGCAACTCTGGTGACTTTTGCAGAGTGTTACAGAGAGTCTCATGTGTAAGTCTTTTCAGAGATGGTTCAGGGGGACCGGGGCTGAAGAGTGAGGGCCACTGTCAGGCATGGATGAGGAGGCAGAAAGGTCTGGTTTGTGTCAGGGAACATTTTGATTTGAGGCAGGGGTGGGTCATGAATGTCCATGATGACTCTACAGAGTTAGAAGTACTGACGATGGCACGTTGTGAGCCGCCTCCTGAGAAGGAATTTCTCTCTTCCCATCCTGACGCGGCTGGGGACCCTGGGTGAAGGGGGCTGGGTGAGTGTTGGTGAGTGATCTCAATCTGCAGTCTTGAGACTCCTGAAGCACATTTGTCTCCAAAGATACCACATTTCCAGATGTCAGGGACACAGCCCAAGGTCCCCAGGGTCCCCAGGTTGGCTGGGACCCTGGGTGAAGGGGGCTGGGTGAGTGTTGGTGAGGGATCTCAATCTGCAGTCTTGAGACTCCTGAAGCACGTTTGTCTCCAAGGATACCACATTTCCAGATGTCAGGGACACAGCCCACAGGTCCCCAGGGTCCCCAGGTTGGCTGGGGATGAGGAAGGAGCTCAGGGAAAGTTGGGCAATCTTGTCCTTTCCCAGGGAGGAGGTTCCTGGGCTTATTCTCAGGGCGGGTCCCCAGGTGCTCCCAGCCCAGTCTGGTTTCACCTGAGTTCCTCTGGGTGCTGCGGAAGGAGCCAGCTTTGGACCTCTGTCCTCTGTCTTCTGTCAGGGATCCCAGGTTTTCCTTTCCCTCGGAGAAGCCGGAGCCAGAGTGCGCCATTCCCAGGGAAGGAGCGCCCTCTAGTGCTGGGGAGAGGGAAGGCTGGAGGAGGAGACCACACCAGAGGCCAAGTCTAGAGGAGAAGGAGCTGCCAGCCAATGAGGAGCCAGCGGACTGCACCCTGACCTGCTGGGCGGGGACAGCGCAGGGTTCTGTAGGTATTGCTGAGTCTGAGTGTTTCTTCTTCAGAGTCCCCCTCCCCAAGAAGGCACTGGACTCGGTCAGGTTAAAATGTGGACATGGAGGAGAAAGTTCCCCTGGTCCCCGTCTTGGACTCTTCTTTTCTATTCTCCACGTTTCTAAGTGACTTTGGTACCAGCCCTCCTTGATCTTTCTCTCCAAGGCTGTGGGTCTTGGGGTTTCCTCCACACAATTCCTTCCCTTTCGGTCCAATCCCTGTTAGATTTCATTTGTCTCCTGCTCTGATATTTATTTATTTTAAGGGTAGAGATGTGTGGCCACGTGAGCCAGGGCGCCCACCTACCCTGCCAGCTCAGGGTCGGCAGCTCCAGGTGCCAGTGGGAGACACCACAGTCCTGGGGAGATGGAGGCTGGATTCAGGCCTCAAACTTCAGTTGTATGATGTGAGGGGTGTGGGGCAGGGTTTGTGACATTACCATTCATGGTTGGGGAAGTACCATTAAGTGACCGTCATCCAAACCTCTCGTTGATCAGGACTGGCCGTGGCTTCTAGGACTTTTACAAGGGGCCAACTCCTTTTCTTGAGGCCAGCTACAGGGTTTCCGCCTTGGGAAAGTTGATCCTTGTGTCTTGTTTGAATAAGGAGGAAGGCTGAACACTGTCCCAGACACTTCTTTGGTGACTGCCTCTTTTGTGAGGGGGTCATTTTGTCTTTGGTGCAGGGTTTTCCTAAATGAATGAAATCCTGGTGTTATTTGCTATGAGATTGCTTGTCCTGATCCAGGAAGTTCCTATATCTTCAACCCTTAAGCTGTGGTTCTAAGAATTTTCCATCAGGAGACTGTAGTACTAAATGAAGGTGATGATTTATCCCATCATCTGTCCCATCTAAACCTCCTTCTATAGTTTCTCAGTTGTTGGTGTTTTGGTTGATAGCTTGATATTTCATATTGACTGAACATGAGTACGCTATTCACTGCTGTCTGAAAGAGCAGAAAAATTTCCTGGAGCTGGTGGTGGTGGGGACCGTAGTGATTCTGTAGTTTGTCTTCTGGGGCCACTTGAAGAATCTCCACCATCAGAAACTCAGGCAGGTTGTGGTTTCAGGCAGAGGTTCTGAGTCAGACAGACCTGAGTAGTAGAGGTTGGTTCTGGGTAGTTGGGTGTGTTAGTCAGCTTTTCAGCACTTGTGACAAAATACCTGAGAAAAATAACCTAAAGGAGGAAAGATTTATTTTGGCTCATGGTGTCAGTCCATGGTCAGCTGATTCCATTGCTATGGGCCTTTGGTGAGCATCATGATTAGATACTCCCATGATCATGAGATTAGAGCTCTCATGATCAAATACTTCTCTAAAGCCCCACTTTGAACATTGCTGCACTGAGGATTAAGTTTTCAACATTTGAGGCTTTGGGGGATTTTACAAATCCAAATCACAACATTGGGGAACTTCAAGCAAACGATTTAAACTGCTTGAGGCTGTTTCCTGATGGTAGGTGTGGACTTTAATGAAATGGTCCATGGAATCTTCAGAAAATACCTGGATTACAGAAGGTGATCAGTAACTGCTGTCATTATTCTCATTTTCTAATGTTAAGATTTGGATCTTACTGTTCCCTAGAGGGTCCCATGTTGAAGGCTTAGTCCCCAATGTAGCAATGTTCTGTTGGGGCTTTGGGGTCACTAGGTGATTGGGTCATGAGGGCTCTGATCTTATCAATAGATTAATTCACGAATGGGGTCGTAGTTGAATGGACAATTGGGCAATGGCAGAAACTATGGGGGGGGGACCTAGTGAAAGGGAGGGGTCCTGGGAGCAGGCCTTTGGAGACCGTATCCTGAGGTTAACTGAGCATCGGTCAGGGATCTTTGTAAAGCGAAGAACCGAATCGATGACTTCACACTCCTCTGACTCTCCAACAGTGCACGGTCTGAAGACCAAACCTGCCTCGACTTGTCATTTGGTCCAACTGAACCTCAGTGTTCTTATCTGCAAATATGGTGTTCAGGTTTATCTTGGAGGGATTTTGTAAGGGACAGATGTAAAATTAAAGCACTACATGTGAAGATAGCCTTGCAGGGTTGATTTATAATCAAGAAATGTGAGAACACTAATGCCTGTGTCTAGCCACGACTCTCCACCACCCGTTAGTGTCCTCACCTTTACTGAGCACCTGGTGTATGCAGAGGACCTTGAGAAGCCTGAGCCAGGTGCTGGCCCTCAGGAAGCAGATACGGGCACCATAGGTGAGTGCTCTATCTAAGGAAGGAGCATGTCATATTCACTGTCAGTGTCTCTCCAGGGTCACTGTCCTCCCAGGCCACCACCTGAGGTCACGTGAGGATGCTGCCCCTGCTTCTTGTCTTCTTTGCTCTGAGTCACCAGGCCTGGGGTAAGTTTCCTTCCCTTGTATCAGAAGTACTTTTGGTGAGTGACAAATGACATCTTTACATTGGATAACAGAAATGCTCCGAAAAGCTCCTCCTTTGCTAGAGGGTGGTGTAGCTTTTCAGTTTGGAGCACTGTTCTGGGATTGACAGATCTCTGTTCAAATACTTTTCCTGTCATTTTCTATAATCTTCAACAAGTTAACCAGTATCTTTGAATTTTATTTGCTTCCATGATGGAAGAATAATATTGCTAATTTCTTAGAGTTGTTTGAGGATTAGATACAAAGTGTGAGACAGTTAGCATAATGCTCAAGTAATAAGGACTAGTTAATTTCTGGCTATGATTTAATTATGCTACCATAATTATTATACCAATCATAGTATATTATACCAAGCACTAGGGCTTATAATTGTGAATAAATGCAAGTTCCTTTAGAATAGCAATGCCCTTTACTACAACATCATATTTCTTATAATTTTGTACATAAGATTAGACATATGATAGCAAATGCTCAATACATAAATGCTATTGAATCAAAATGGAACTAGTTTTGGTGCTTCTTAAGTACTGGACATGTTTTCATGTTGTATTACATCCATAGTTACTGTTTAGAAATAATGATATAAAAGACCTCTCTCTCTGTGCCCTGTTACTTAGATAATTCAATGGGATTACTTAAGAGTTTGCTATGGTTTAGATATGAGGTGTCCTGCAAAAGCTTATGTGTGGGGCCAGTAAAGCACTTGCCTAGCATGCATGAGGCACTGGGTTTGATCTCCAGCACCACATAAAAATAAACAAATAAAATAAAAGTATTGTGTCCATCTACAACTAAGAAATATTTTTAAAAAAGCTCATGTGTGAGATAATGAAGAAAGTTTAGGGGTGAAATGATTGGGTTGTGAGAGCCTTAATTCCTGATAGGGTTAACTGAGTGGTAACTAACTGTAGGTAGGTAGGGTGTGGCTGGAGGAGTGGGTCTTTGGGGGTGTGCCTTTGGGGTATATGGTTTGTCCCTGGAGAGTGGAGCTGTCTCTCTGCTTCCTGTGTGATGACTTGAATTGCTGTCCTCCCCCACACCCTTCCACCATGATGTTCTTGCTCATCTGAGACCTCTGAAACTGTAAGCTTTTCCTCCTCTAAATTGTTCTTGTCAGGTCTTCTGATCTTGGCAGCTGAAGAGCTGACTAAAACGGGGTTCATGTTGGAGAAAGTCACAGATCAGGGGAAACATAGTTTCGTCTTCCACTTTAAGAAGGGGGGAACTGAGGCCCCCAGGGGGAAGGAACTTGCTTAAGTGAAGCAGTGGCCATCCTGGTCTCTTGGTTTGTGCTCTGTGCTTGTCCAGCCTCTGTGGTGTAGGCTCTGGCCTGACGGCTGTTCTTCCACCACGAGGGCCCTGTGGACGTCATTGGAAATCCTCGTCTCCAGGGCCACTACGCCTCCTCTCACGTCCTGTTACCCTTGCAGCTTGGGGCTGCTTCCTTGAACAGACAGACTCCTTTCCTCGGCTTTTGCCCAGCTGCCCAGTACTCCTAGCCTGGGGTCATGCATTTGCCCTTGATTTCTGAGGACAGAATCCTAGAACCATGGTGGACACCCTCAATGACTTTGCCGTATAGACAGAGAAGCAGCCTCCCTGACCAGAGGCTCAGTTCATCTGCCATCTCTGGGGAGGCTGCAGAGGGTGTTGGTCATGAACTCCAGCTCTGGGGTCAGAATCGGGTGGGGATCTAAGTCCACTGCTTAAAACCTGGGCTGTGTGAGTCAACTCACTCAGCCTCACTGAGCCTCAGTTTCCCACCTGTGGAGGGAGTCGTTGTTTGCCTTGCTAATCTCATGAAGTTGTTCTAAGCCACGATTCTGATGGCGTATTTGAGGGGTCTTTGTCATCACAGAGCTGGCCTGTGGGAGGTGGCCTTGGGGACAGTGCGGCTGCTGCTGTTGTTATTGCTCCCCTGGCTTCTGGTATTGACCAGTACCAGATGAGCGATGGGGGATGAGGACAAGTTGGCACTGACTAATCCTCAATAGGACTTGTGTTTTGAGACCAGACTCATGACCCATGTGTGTCTGTTTTAAGAAATCTGTATGGCACCAACAGGTGCCTAATATAAGTATGAAGTGTTAACTGAAAATAATGCCCCCACTGGATGCATCAGCAGGTATGCAGGTGGTCCACGAAGGCAGCCCTGCTCTGATAAGGCAGCAGGAAAGACTGCGGGATGGAGGGGGATTGGAGCAGGGATGGGTGGATAAAGTCCTCCTGGGAGCTGATGTGGGAGGCAGGGGCAGGCTGAGACCAGAGATGTCGGTGGTTCTCCTTCGTTGCTTCCTACAAGATGTTCTGGGCCTTGGGAGGCTGAAAGACCGTGGGCTGTGGGGTAGGGATGTCTGGAAGGTGCCCCTGGGCAAGCTGGTCAGGTGTTCTCTGAGGACCAACGCAGGCACCTTTGCAGGGAATGGCCCACAGTTCTCCTGGGATGAGACCCTAGACAAAAGAATCTCAGAGAAGCTTCTGGATCTGTATATCAGCATCTCACAGCTCATTGGCAGGAGTCACAACGGTGAGATTGTTTGGGGGTTGCCCGGGGTTTCTCAGGACTTGACAGACTGGGCTGGGAGTGGGTAAGGGGGGGCAGAGTTCCAAGGGGCTCACCTGTCAGTGACTTCCAGGGACTGTCCTGAGTTCGTAGGGAAAGGTGGGTTCCTTGGTCTAAGGATAGGAAAAGAAGAGAAAACCAGGAGAAGAAAGAGGAGAGAAACCCGGGTAGAAAGGACACATCCCTCACTCCCCAGCTCCCAGGGTGAGAGAACTGCTCCTCGAGAGCTCCTGGGGCTCTTACGATGAGGAGGAGAAAGGGAACCTTCCGGGAGCAGCCCCGTCCTGTGTGGGTGTCTTGCAGCTCTGCCCCTGGACAGTTTCCTTCTGGAAAGAGTCTTCTTCCTATGTGCTAGGAACTTCCTGTGGAGCCCCTAGTTGAGGAGGCTGTCAGAACTTCCCTCAGAGAGTCACTAATCTGGGTGAACACAGGCAGAGAACAGGGTTGAGGGAAACACATCCTACCAATCCATGCTAAGGTGCTTCAGGAGAAGGCGGCTCAGAACCCCAGGGCTCTGTGTGGGGTGTTGGCTAGGGATGTTTTAAGGAGGGGGCGATCATACGGGCCAGGGAGGAGGTGAAGCTGGGCTTGTCCTCCAGGTACGTGTGAGGGGAGATTGTCTGGGGACTAACCTGCCTCCCCAGGCCAAGAGCGAGGCACCTCTGGGTGGTCGCTGAGCCCAGATGGGGCTATGGAGATAGGGAGGGGCTTCAGGTGGTAAAGGTCCCCCCCAGGGCCCCTTTCCTTGCAGTCAGGCTGGGCTGGGTCTGCTGCACGCTATCTGGTGTCTCCCCTGCAGGCTTTCCCACCATAGTCTCCCGCCAGGAGTGGGGGGCTAGACCACTGACCTGCAGGGCCCCCCTGAGCCCGCCCGTGGCCTTCCTCATCACGGAGCAGCTCACCGGGATGCAGTGCCAGGAGCAGACCATCTGCAGCGAGATGCTGCGGGGCCTACAGTTCCATTCTGTCCACACCAGAAGCCGGTGCGACGTAGCGTTCAAGTAAGTGGCCAGTCGGGTCCCAAAGCCCCTATCCAAAGATGTGTCCCATCTCCCCTCCTCTCCTTCTCCCATATTCTGGGCTCCATTTATGTTACTTTCATAATGAATAAAAAAATGTTAAAAAGGAGATCAAACAGAATCCACAGCCCTCCCGAGATCACTAGGAGGGACAACTCTGAGCCATTTCCTCATGTGGACTTTGACCCTGGGAAATCCTGAGAAGAGGTGAGAAGGTTATGTGATAGTTATAGATGCCCCCGGGGAGCTCACCAAACATCACAGTTGGCAAAGGTCTTCACAGGTATCCCCCAGTTAGGCCCTCCCAGCCACTTGAAAGAGTGGGTGCAGAAAACAGCACCTCCTTATTTCCAGGTGAGAATGCTGTGAATTTGTTCAGAGTGACACAGGAAGGGAGCATGCACCCAAGATAGCATCTAGACTGCCTGTCAGTCCAGCCCTGTCCCCTCCAATCCTTCCACAGAGAGTCCCTGTGTGGTGAATTCCTATTCATTACCTTGAAGGGCCACCCCAGGGTCACATAGGGAGGGGTGGGCATCAGGAATGGTGGGGAGGAGGGCCCCATGCTAAAGTGAGTACACACTTACACACCACTGGGTCTGTAGATAGTGCAACCTCTACAGGGATCAACACCGCAGGACCCAGCTACCGCCCCTCAGTATTTACCCTAAAGAATTAAAGTCAGTATAATATAGCAATCCATGCACACCCATGTTTACAGCAGCACAGTTCACCATCACCAAACTGTGGGACCAGTCTAGGTGGCCATTAACAAGAAAATGTGGGACGTATACACACAACGGAGTTTTATTCAACCTAGAGGAAAGAAATGATATCATTGCAGGAAAATGGATAGAACTTGAGAGCATTAAGTTAAGTGAAGTAAGCCAAACTCAGAAAGACTGTTTTCTCTTATATTGGGAGCTAAAGAGAAAAAAAAGAAAACAAAAGTGGGGGGGATCTCATGAAATTAGAAGTGAGACCATAGAGGAAGGGAATGGGGTGGGGAGAGGAAGGACTGGGGAATGAAACTGACCCACAGTGTCTCATGTACATGTATGAATACGTCACAATGCATCTCGCTATCATGTATCATCATAATGCACCAACTTAACAAAAAAGAAAAACGTGAGGCTGAAAGATCTTTGCTCCGTGTATGGAGTTATCCACTCTAAGGATGATATTGAGGCCAGGCACCTTTTCTCACTTAGTTCAACCACTGTGGCCATCCCTGGAGATCAGAAGGCTAGGAATAGAATCACCATATGGTTCCACTTAGCTTTATTTATCTAGAAAGTGAGAGTTGGAATGGGGTTTTGTCTTACAGAATCCCAAAGACAAACAGAAATGATGTCTGAATTATCCATCTTGGAAAGGATAATCCACACCTGCTGATTTGTTTATTTTGAAACACTAATAAGTAAGAACAGTTGGAGATCTTGGTTGTAGCCACGGCCATCCCTAGGATGGTGGGGCATCTCAGCTCACCCTCTGGGGATGCTGTTTTGACTGTGTTAACCGCAGTGCCTCTCCTGTCTCGGCTTCTCGTACCTACACTGCCCTGCAATGGTCACTGCGGCATTGCCTACTTAAGCCACAGTATGTGTAAGCGATTTCAACCACTGCACCTGGAAGTCAGGTTTCTGCAGTGACCACTTAACAGTATCCACTTCTTACAGCTGACTGTAGCCCTGAGGGGCTGTTCACATTGGACTAACCTCAGGCTTCTGCAGGGGAAATGGTGGACGTGTTGGGCTCCCACCCTGATGCTCATTGTGAGGTGGGAAGTCAGTTTGACTGAATGCAGGGTCTTTGCTTGACTTTGGGGAAGTACACGTCCCTTCAGTGTTCAGTTAGCTTTGGAAACTCGGGAGGTAGTAAAAGCTCAATATGGCAAGAGTTGCGAGAATATCGATTCTGAAGACTGGAACGTGGAGGATGAGTGTATGTAAAGAGGCAGAAATAAATGAACAGGGAGAATAAAAATAAACACACATTGGATTTCAAAGTGAACTGAAAAAAAAAAAAAAGAGAACATTCTAAAAAAGTTTCTATGATAAAGAAGAGCTTGAAGGAATTCCTAAGGAGAAACCAAAGAAAAAGCCACTTTAAAGGAACTCCTGAGGGTCAGGTCATTGTTTTAAAGAATGTTCAAGTGCTTGGTCCCGTAATTTAAAAACATGATTAATGAATTCTCAAGCCCTTGAAAATATTGAACAAATGTCCCTGAAAGTCACACATTCAAATTCCACTTTGAAACAAATGAGTATTTTAAAGTGAGATCCCGGAAAGCACAAGTAAGCTAAGTAAAAAGTTGAAGTCTATTCCCATGTCTCTTAGAGGTCTAACATCTGTCATTCTGTCCCCCTGACTGTTATTGTGTTATTGAAGCACAGTACTTATTTATGAGCATCTAGAATCCCATTTGCCACTGAGGATTAGTGAGGGGTTTTCTGTTACAGAGATTTCCCCTTAAAGTCACATTTCCTTGTTTGGCAGCTTCCTGGTTGGGGACGATGGCAGGGTGTATGAAGGCGTCGGCTGGAATGTCCAGGGTTCGCACACCCAAGGCTACAACAACGTCTCCCTGGGCGTTGCCTTCTTTGGCAATAAGATAGGTAATGGCTGATCCCCGTGGTCTCTTTGCCAGAGAGTGGTCTACAGCCTCCTTCATCTCCCAGTCTCAACGCTTTTACCTTTTCAGCCTAAATCGTGCCCATCCTCTGATAATCACCTGTCTCCTGAGGTTCTTTTCTCCGCTGGATTCTATGACGGTCCCCGTCCTGCTGAGGCCACCCTGGACATTGCTGGGGCTCACAGTGATTGCCATCAGTTCTGGGGTCTGAAGTTATCTGACACTGAGGCCCCGACATGGGGTATTTCTTCTTCCAGTCTCTTCCACCGTAGATACTGACCAGAGCTCACGGGAAAGGGAGCCAGAGAGGTGCAGCGGGTAGGACTGCAGCCAAGTACAATCCTGCACAAAACCAAAACCAAAACGGAGGAGAGCTCAGAGCAGGGATGGAGTCGAGAGCTAATAGATGATAACTGGCACCAGTTGATAACTGAGCTAGTAATTGCATTTTTCTCAGGGATTCCCAGTGAGAACTGTGAGGTGGATGTAGACAGCTTGCCACATGCTTGGTCATGGCAACTACATAGGAAATACTTTTCCCCATGCTGGGGCATAACTGTGGGTCAGTGGGCCTTTTGTGTATGCATCTTTGACCTCCTTCTGGCCCTCCCACCCACAGATGGAGTGGATAAATAAAGCCTCGGTTGGCATTTGGAAGCAGTGTGTCTGAATAGCTCTGACCCTCTGTGCCAGCTATTGGACCAGTTTCCTCTCTGTTCATCCACCTGTCACTCGGGCTCAGGTGGTCATCTTATCTTCCCCAGTCCAGGTTGGACTACTGACCATTCTGTGTCCAATGTCACCCGTTTCTAGGCAGCAGACCCAGCCCTGCTGCCTTATCAGCTGCAGAGGGCCTGGTCTTCTATGCCATCCAGAAGGGTCACCTATCACCCAGGTACATTCAGCCACTTCTCTTGAAAGAAGAGACCTGCCTGGCCCCTCAGCACCCAGGGGTGTCCAGTAAAGGTAAGACCCTCACCCTGCCTCAGACTGCTCCTCTTCACCACCCATACACGCTTGGGAGGGCTCTTTCCTGCTGAGATCTCCTGGGCTTCCTGGATCCAGAACATCTCACACCTATCACAATGCCAATACCTGCAAAATTCTGAGAGGGCGCTGTTGTGTCACTGTGGCCAAAATACCCAGCAAACCCACTTAGGAGGGGAACGGTTTGTTTTGGGATCATGGTTTCAGAGCTTGGTCCGTGGTCAGCCAACTCCATTGCTCTGAGACTGAGGTGAGCATCATGGTGGAGCAGAGTGGAGCAAAGCTGCTCACTCCATGGTAGCTGTGAAGCAGGGGATGGGGAGAAGGGGCCACAGCAAGAGACGACCCCTTCCAGGCCATGTCCTCAGCGACCCACCTCCGCCAGGAACACCTCACCTGCCTACACTTACTGCCTGGTTCGTCCATTCCAACCAGGATAGACTGACAGGTTGGTTGATGCTCTCATAGTCTACCTGGAATACCTCCAATATTCCTGTATTAACACTGGAGTTTTTTGGGGACACCTCATATCCAAACCATAACAGGCACTTTCCTGGACTCTTCTCTATCCCATTAAAATAATATTGTCGTGACTTATTTATAACAGGTACCAACTTCAAAAATGACAACTCCTTAACATTAGTAGTTTTCAAATAGATTTTTGAATAATTTCCATATACATATGATCAGTTCAAAAATGAGCTGATTTCTGCTTATCAGTCTTGTTACATAATATACATTTGTAATGTGTACATAAACATGCAGGTATACTTTGTTATTTAAAGAAGATGGCCATCCCTCTGTTTGACTGACAGTGTTCCCTTTTGCTTATGCGGTTTTTCTGTAGTTATCAGAACCCTGTCCCTTGGCTTCAGCAACCTGACCCAGACAATCCATTCCTGACCTTTCCAAACTCCTAGAGTCAAATTCATGTTAGGATGTGCCCATGGGTGCTGGAAACTGGGGTGAGACTGAGGTATAACTCCCCCTGTGGTTGTGAGCTTGTTCACAAAGGAGCAAAGGAAAATCCTCATTTTCTTGATTTTCCGTCTCACTTCAGCTTGCCCCGACATCACCCCACGGTCTGCTTGGGAAGCCAGAGAGACACACTGCCCTCAAATGAGCCTCCCAGCCAAATACGTCATCATCATCCACACTGCTGGGACCAGCTGCAATGTGTCCATGGACTGCCTGATTAGTGTCAGAGACATACAGTCCTTCCACATGGACAAGCTAGACTTTTGTGACATTGGATATCAGTAAGTGGGACCAACGGAAACATGACCCCTTGTTTCTTCAGGGCTGTGGGAAGGAGGGCTGGGAAGGAGCTGGCGATGCCTGAGCCCTGCCTTGGTGGCAGGACTTCACTTAAGGCATTCATTTTTGAGTTGCAAGACTCTAGACTGAGAATCATTCAGAGTAGGTAGGGCTACTTCTATCTCGTGCACGCATTGTCCAAGAGTGGTTGGGGAGACCCTGAAAGGAAGGCTCTGGAAGCAGTAGAGATAAAGCAAACTGTGAGGCCCCCAGGGAAGGCCATTGAGGGGGTGTGCACTTTCTCTGCAGCCCCTTCTGGTCAGTCAGAGGCAAAGGCCCTGCTCTCCCACCACCTTGGTCTGGCCCAAGCCCACACTGACTCTCTGCAGTATTAGAAGGCTGCTATGCTCTGCCGTTCTCTCTGTTTATAGATAGAGAAATTTTTAACCTCTGTGGGTCGTTTTTGTCTCATCTCTACGGTAAGGACAACAATACGTTTTCTGTTTGAAGACAGGGAATGAGATTAAAATGTGCTCCTTTGATTCCCTTTATGCCAACTGTAAGATGAAGAAACATGTTAAACTAATGGAATAGCAGAAGCTACTTGGGAGGTGCCTTGGAATTTCATAGAGTGGATTTAGGGTTAGTGTATGAGAAATTTCATTTGTAACTTAATCTCAGCAATTTTTTTTAATACTGGGGATTGATCCCAGGGGTGCTTAACCACTGAGTTACATCCCCAGCCCTCTTTATTTTTTTATTTTAAGACAGGGTCTCACTAAGTTGCTTAAGGGCCTTGCTAAATTACTGAGGCTGGCCTTGAACTTCTGATTCTCCTGCCTCAGCCTTCCTAGTTGCTGGTATTATAGATATGTGCCACCACACCCAAAGACAGGTGGCTTTTATAGACAATGATTGAAACCATGGCAGCTGATGATTGTCCAGGGTGAATTCATTAAATCAAAAGAGGGAAAGGGCTAGACCAGGGTCCCAAGGAAGGAGTCCAGGGTCCTAAAGATCACAACTCTTGGTGAAGGGAAGGTGGGGTGGCAGAGAGACCCAGGGGAGCCGCGGAGTCGGGGGGATCAGGATGGTTTGAGCTTGGGGAAGCCTGGGGAGGAGAATATTTCAAGATCATGGTCAACGGGGTCAATGTTTTCCAGAGGTAAGTGTCCTCTGTATTTAGTGTCAAGGAGGTCACCAGTCATCTTAGGGGGTCAGACTCAGGAAGTGGTGAGGACAAAGGCACATTGAGGTGGACGGTGTCTTTGTTTGGGGCCTCTGTGCACATTGGCACTCGAGACATTCAGACAGTACGTGACAATGGATGAGAGAGTGAATGAATGGTGGAAGGAACGAGTGCATCAAACTCTGCTCCGGGGTGACTGTCTTCATTTCCTTTGCCCAATTCTAGCTTCCTGGTGGGCCAGGATGGTGCAGTGTATGAAGGCGTTGGCTGGAATGTCCAAGGCTCCCACACCTATGGATACAACGACATTGCTCTAGGAATTGCCTTCATAGGCAACTTTGTAGGTAAGGGAGGAGGACGGGCAGAGGGGTTCCGGGAGATGAAGTCCCCTGCGGAATACTCAGGAATACCCTGGGGGCACAGGTGGCAGCGTGGCGCTTTCTAAAGTTGCAGAGCCAGTGGAATATTTTAAAGTGGACTTGGTCCAGAATGCATGCCACCAGGAGCCCCTCCCAGACAAAACACTATCCCCAATTCGCCCCTCCCCACCCCCAGCCCCATTTCACTTCATGCCCATGTTCAAGCTAGCATGGGGCAAGGTAGGGAAAACATCTTTTGCAAACTTTGGGGCTGTTATGGCTCAGCTGGCAAATGTGTCCTCTTCCTTGGTAACCATGGCAACAGTGTTGGCTATGGCACAGTCCCGGACGGTCCAGCGGTCCTGGATCTGCTCTGTTCTTGCTAAGAAGTGGTGTGTCACGCTGGAGTTGTACTCCAGGGCGGCTTTCGACTTACTGGAAGAAACTTTTGCCATGGGGAGTGGGGAGCACAGAGCCTTCTCCTTTTTCTGTGTCTGATTGCCACAGTTCCTGTGAATCTGTCGGTCAGGGTGATGGTGGGATTTAGCGGGGAATGAAGAGGGGAAGACTGGAATCTAGCTGCTTGTCTCTGCCCTAAACCAGCACCTTGAGACTCTAATGATTGACGGAGTAAATATGTTTTGCAGAAAAACCTCCGAATGCGGCGTCCCTGGACGCAGCCCAGGATCTGATCCAGTGTGCCGTGGTCAAGGGGTACCTGGACCCCAACTACCTGCTGGTGGGCCACAGTGATGTGGCTAACCTTCTGTCCCCTGGGCAGGCTTTGTACAACATCATCAAAACTTGGCCTCACTTCAAACACTGAGGGGGGCCCGCTCCTGAGGCTGCTCTCCCTGGCTGCACCCCACTGTTGGCACCTCTGCCCCAGGGTCACCATCTGTGTCCCCTCTCCTACAACCCCACCTTTCTCAGGCTGAGGTGACCGTGTCCTCATGCCAACGCTCCCCAGCATCCCCCAGGCTATAAGCTGGGTACCCACAGCCCTCTGAGTCTCAGCCCAGTCCTCTCCCCTGGGCACCACATGCTGGGCCTGGTGACATGGTTGCCTGGTTCCCGTCAGACTTCTCTTTCTTTTGTACGGGTCCCTGTGCCTTCCCCTGTGGCCTTCCTGGAAGCCCCTGGCCCTCATCTGTCACCCGGGCCAGGCTGCCCACTTCTCCTCTCTGCTCACACATCAACTTGTGCACATTTGGATGCAGTCTTTATTTCAGGGCTATAGTTTTTTTTTTTTTTTTTTAATAGTTATGTCTGATTCTTTTCTTCTGGGTCTGAGTTTCTGTGTCCTCTGTTCCTGAGCAGTGTCTGAATTTAATAGGCGCTTTAGATGTTTGCTGAAGAGATGGTGAATAGGCCAATGACCCTAGCTCCTGCTCACCTGGCCAGTTCCCCCCTCAGCCCTCTCTGGGGAGCCCTCCTGGACGCGCCCCGTCCCATCAACACTCTCTCTCTGTCCTGTTCCCTCCCACTCTGGAGCTCAGAGCTGTTTCTGGTGGCTTGTCTGAAATGGGTGCTGTGTCTCTAGGGTCCTATGTCCCTGTCCCCCTAGAGAATCCTGAGGATGGACTGTGTGCTCCTCCAGGGTCAGTACAAGCTGCCCAGTGCCTGCCCATGCCTGGTTGGACCCAGCTAGGTGCCCGGCAGGCCAAGGACCAGGAGCCACTGCACCCCTCCCTGCCCGGGCTCCTCCTACCTACAGGGAAGAGCCAGACAACCCACTGCTTCCGTGGAAGCACACAAGAGCTTGCTTCACTGGGCCTGATCCAAAAACCAGGGAAGAGGGGAGGAGGAAGAAGGGGTGGAGTAAGGGGAAGGAGCCAGAAATGTGCCCCGCCCATACCTTCCTCTGGTATCTATACTGTGTTTTGCTTTTAGAGTGTCTTCACATCTTTACCACAGGCATGTTTTAACAGCCTACATTTCCACAGCTCTGTCTTCTCAAAGACTCCCCCAGTCTCACCGGATTATCTCTGTCCATTAGTTATTTCTCCTCAGGCACCGGGGCGGGTAAGCAGGGGAAGGAATGGTTTGTCTAGAGGGTCGCCAGGGACACTGTCACTCCTGATTTGCATGAGCAGAGAAGTCTCTTCCTCTGCCCAGGGCTTCCTGTGGGTGTGGGGCTGGGTGCAGACTTTCCCGGGGAGCCCTCCCCACAAGGGTGAGTTAACCCCTCCTCCTGCAGGAAGCAGCCCAGGGGTAGACTGAGCTCCTGAGAAATGGTCTCATGAAAGAGCTGTTTGCTGTGGTTTGAAAGCGTTTCTCAAAGCTCATGTGCTGGAAATTAAGTCCCTCACTGGTGACAAGTGTTGAGAGATGGAACTTCAACAAGGTGATTAATGCACTGATCTTATTATGAGCTGGGTTTGTTATAAAAGTAGACTCAGCTCCCTCTCTCTCAGAGTGTGCACACGCATGCTCCCTGGCTCTTCTACATTCTGCCACGGAATGACGCAGCAAAAAGGCCCTCCTCAAACGTGGGCCTCTGGACTCTGGACTTCCCAGCCTCCAGACTGTAAAAATAAATGTCTTTTTAAAAAATACAAGTGATGCAGTCTCAGTCATTCTCTTCTAGCAGTATAAAACAGACCAAGGCACCAACTTTCAATTTCTGGGCCTTCCTTACAATCCTCCAAAGTAGATTTAAACCCTATTTCCAGGCCTCTGGGGCTTGTTGGCCTATCCCCACAGACTCTGCCCAGGTGGGTCTGGAGAGGGATTTGTAGAATCCACGGAGGCCTCCTCCAAACCACAGTGTTAAAGGAGATTGATCAAATCATGTTATGTGTGGGCACAAAGATGGCATAATGAATCCCACCATTAAGTATAATTGTAAGGCACCAATAAAGAAATTAGAAATACCCCACAGTATTGCATGGTCTGGATTATTCCTTTCTCCAATTATCTACTTTTATTGATCTTAAATATACAATCTAAGTAAAACCAGAGCCCTCGGCTGGCAGAAGTTCTCTCAAGGCAGATTCTGAGGTAGCCTGTTGTGTGCAGTTAGCCTCTTTGTGAGATCGATCGATCGATCTATCTATCTATCTATCTATCTATCTATCTATCTATCTATCTATCTAGGGTTGAACCATATCCCTGATCCACATCCCCAGCCCTTTTAATATTTTAATTAGAGACAGGTTGCATAGGGCTTTGCTAAATTGCTAAGTTGCTGAGGCTGGCTTTGAATTTGTGATCCTCCTGCCTCAGCTTTCTGAGTTGCTGGGATGACAGGATGACAGGTGTCCTCTCTGTGCTCTTTTACAGAGAAATTCTTCCTCTCTCCCCTCTAATCACTTAAAGTGGGGATTATATTAACAGCCTCCTCAAATGATTGCTGTGAGGTTTAAATCTTTGGGTTTTACAAATTATCTCTCCAATGGAAGGATCTTAGAACCATACCCAGCATACAACCACTGTTCCATTAAAATTAGTTGAGGCATCATGATTATTGTCACCATTATAGTGATTGCTGATTAGACTGTGCTGTCTATTGGTCCTGCTTGACTCTGGCAGGAAGGATGTGCTTTTGTGAGCACTAACCTCAGCCACCTGGGGGAGTTTGTGCAGCCTGAGCCCAAACCTTGTGACAGCCGGGAGGGGCCTGGCACACCAGCAGGCCATCAGGGCTGCAGAAGCCAGGTGGGGAATGGGAGGTCATACCTCCTTCCCAGCCCCCTGGATGTCAAGTTGGGAGGGACTCCAGAGCTCACCCACTCAGCTGTTTTCCATAATTTTAAGTTGGGGGGAGGGAAACTCTCCAAAAATTTCTCGGGTTTCAGAATTGTGAATACTAGGTTCATCAAAGCCCCCTATTTAATTGAAGATTGAACCCAAAGCGGGAAGATGATCTGTTCAAGTTGGTAAAGGAAGGGGCACTCGGGTTCCGAGCTAAGACACGGTTCCTGCCACCCTCTGACAGACATCATGTTGAGCCTCCTCTTTCCAACAGAGTCAACGGGGCTTCTGCCATGGAGTTCCCGTCTACTCTTTCCCCTGAACCTGTGGATTACTCTGAGCCTCATCCTCTGGGCTTCCCATCCTGATGCTTTCTCTCATGCCACCCCACCCCACATTTTGACGTCTCCAATTCTACCTGCTCTTTAAAGTGCTTTCTGAAGGCTAGCTCTTCCAGAAGGCTCCTGGCTTCGCCACATCAGGAATGACATCTCCTTCCCCGAGTGCCCATGGCTTCTCTAGACTTACCCCTGACCCCTCACTTGCCCCTTTTTCCTGACCCTGGCCTCCCTGGGGCCTGTGCCTGGGCCTGCTCCTCCCTAGATCCATCTTCTGGGCCTCTTGCAGGGCCAGGCACATTACTGGGGCCACCTGAGTGTCTGGAATGAAAGGCAGGGTGATGTCCCCAGGGGCGGGCGGCAGCTTTTCTTTCAACTCGTCTTGGATGCTTGCTGCAGAGTGGAAAATTCCTGTCTTCTTGCTGCACGGACCCAGCCCACTGCCCTGACTGGTTACATTTCTCACCAGCTAATTCCTTCTCAATTCCAGGCCGTGACTCATCCCCACCCTCGGGTGACTCCCCTCCAGTGTGAGACATGAGGGAAGACATGTTCTCCAGCACCAATATGCCCCCCACCTGGGGCTTCTGTGACTTTCTCACTATGGTGACCACAGCCCCGCTGTCCTGTGCTGCCTCCCTCCCACTGGCCCACTCAGGAAAATTCTTCCTGGGGTTCTGGCACATACCTGCCCCAGGCTTCCTGGGCTCTTCCTCTTTGTCTGTTTCTTTCTGTATCCTTCTGTCCTGCTCTGTTCCCGCCTGTGTCCTTTCTCTAGAATATGCTAGTGTGAAAAAAATAGTGGGGGAGGGGGTGGCGGGGCTAACCAAGCCTCAGTCCTGTGGAAGCATCCTGCACCTTAAAATCACCTCTTCAAGAATTAAAGTCCCGTTCACACAAAAACTTAAGTGTATCAGCTTCGGTCATGATGATAAAAGAGCAAAGCCAACTCGGGCGTCCATCCACCATGTGTGGATAAACTAGATGTGGCACATCTAGACAGTGGGCATCATTCAGCCACAGAAAGGAGCACAAGCTACACGCGGATGACCCCTGAAAACACTACGCTGAGTGAAAGCAGACAGTCGCAAAAGGCCACACATCCATGATCCCATTTGTACGGAATGCACAGAACAGAGAAAGTCACTGAGAATTGATTCTACGGGGGCTGGGGGTGGGCAGGGGAGGGAGAAATGGGAGCGATTGCTAATGGGTTTGGATTTCTTTGGGGGATGAGGCAAACATTCTGAAATTAGGTAGTGGAGTTCAACACACAACGCGTGAGTATACAAAACCAGTGAATTACATACTGTATTAAAAAGGCAGGCTTTGTGATAGTCATTTCATCTCAATAAAGTTATTATTAAGAAAAACCACCTCTTCACCCTGCCCGAGGGCCACGGGGTGCCAGGAGTGGGAGGAGATGGGCGAGAGGCCAGGAGCAGGGTGGTTCTGGGGAAGGTACACATTTTCCAAAAGTTTAGAGACAGAGCAGGATTACATGAGTTTCTGGCCCAGCAGGTTCTGCAAGCAGGGGGTGGAGGGAAGGGCCCTAATTAGAGGGAGCCCTGAGAGAGTGGAGGTGTTATTAGGTGGAAGGCGTGGTGGGCGGGGTGGGGCTCCTGGGAGGGCTGGCAGTGACCTCTTAGGTAGGAACTTTCCACAGTGGGCTGGGGTAAGAAGTGCCTCCCGTGGGCAGGGAGCTGGGGATTCTCCCCCAGGGAGACTGGTCCCCCTCTGGTGCTGTGGAACGGAGAGCTCCCTCTCAGTGGCTGGTAGTCACAAGAGTGAT